TATGTATGTAAGCCAAAATCCACACCTAAGTTTTTGTGTGTAATGAAATGGACATTAAGTATATTAATTAGAGCATGTTATTTTTGTGGGTTTTGTAGGTTTTTTTAAATATAAAATTATTAAAAGACACACTCTCTCTTCCTTATACTCAACTTTATATCTTCTCTTTCATCATTTTATTCAATTTTTATTAATTTTCTATTTAAACACATCCACTTTTTCCCACAAAACTCTCCAAAAGTATCAACTTAAAGAAACTCTCTCTTCATTTTACTCAACTTTTATTAATTTTATATTTAAACACACCCACTTTTTCCCACAAAACTCTCCAAAAGTATCAACTTAAAGAAACTCTCTCTTCATTTTACTCAACTTTTATTAATTTTATATTTAAACATACATACTATCTCCTCTCTTTATTAATTTTATATTTCAATACACCCTATTATTTCAACCAAAAACACTCTCTTTCTTCTTTCTACTCAAATTTTAATAATTTTATATTTAAAAAAACCTACAAAACCCACAAAAGTATCACCACTAAACATGCTCTTAGATTCTGCGTACGAATCCAGAATTACATGTAGATCAATTAAACCAACAATCTTATAACACTTTATACATTACAAGTCGTGTATTTGTGTCCAATTTAGCCACGATTTATCATATACAAGTCGTGGCTAAGTTCCAAAACTATCCACATACGTTATGGTGACTAATATACACAAATTGACACAACTTAAGAGCATCCTCAATGGATGGGTATTTAGGATGAGGTTCTAGTTCATATAATATTATTATTTTAATATTGTCTAATTATTGAATTAAATTTTAATACCTAGAAATAAATTGAATCAATTAGAAAATTACATTTGTTATAAGAATATCTAAGATCATCACGGTTTGCTTTTTAGTAGATTTGTTAAAAAAATAAAAAATAGGAAATAATAAAAAGTATGAAAGAGAGAGCAAGTATGAGAAATATCCATCTCTCTCTTTTCTACTATATAGCTACTATTTCGTTCGTAGCTATTGGATACAAATATCCACAACTGTTATTGTGTCTTATTGCAACATATATAGCCACATCTTCATGTTGGAAATGTCCTGAAATCATTCGTATTTACTCTAAAAAGTTAAAATATGTCAAGGTTGACAATCGTATAATATTAGATTGTTATAATGCTTTGCTAGAAACCGTTTATAATTTACAGGTTTTAAAGCCTATTACTAATATTATACGATCCTATAAAGTCACACACTTAAGCAAACCAGATGACAAATATATTGGGTTTTTATGGAAGCCAAGTCATAGTACCACTCATGGGATGTCAACATTCTCCAGTGCACATAAGGTGTAGACATTCTCCATTTTGTATTAGTGCAATTAAACTATAAAATTAATTCAACATGAACTTAAGCCCTTAAGTCTTGCTTGCACTATATATATATATGATAGAGAGGTTATGATAATGATCATCAAAAATACACGGCTTATAAACCCAATACAAAATACAAAACAGTTTGTACAAGAGATTTAGATCTCTACGGCACTAGCATCCCGTTTGATCTAGTTTGTGTGCGTGTGGATACCGATATAGGCACAACGTTTGGAGTGCTACATAACCTTGATTTGATTCGATACATCTTTCCGCTTCAATTGATGAAGGTATATTCTAAATACATAGAACCTAGATCTAATTTAGTATTTACACGAATCCTGAAAATTAAATTCTAAATTGATATTTATAAGTACTTATAAATCGACTATAAATTTCCACCCTTAGTCATGGATAGAAACAACAGCTAGCCATAAACCATTTTGTATCTTAGCCACAAAATCATAAACCATTTTGTATCTTAGCCACAAAACTACAAAAGCCCTGTGACTAAATTGATTTTAATTTCAAGAAATTTGAGATATTAAAGTATGAAATAGTGGGCTTAGATAACACTTTATTAGAAAACCTAATGCATTTTTAGCACTTTCTCAATTTGGTTTGTGCACATAGCACTTTATAACGTAAAATGATTCTATTACCCTGATCTCATGTACACTCCATATTCTCCTTCTCTCCTACGTGATGACTCG